TGGCCCACGCCGCGCTGTCCCTGGCGCAGGTGCACGATGGGTTCCGCACCCACGACCTCGTCATCGCCGCCGACGGTCAGTGGGGCCCCGTGGCACCCCAAAACACCCTGTGGCACCCCAAAACACCCCGTGGCACCCCAAAATACCCTGCGGTACCCCTGTAACACCCCACAGCACCCCAAAACACCCCGTGGTACCCCAAAACACCCCACGGCACCCCTGTAACACCCCACAGCACCCCAAAATAATCCATAGTACCCTATAACGCCCCATGGCACCCCATAACACCTCATGGAACCCCAAAACAACCTGTGGAACCCTATATCGCCCCATGGCACCCCATATCACTCCAAACCACCCCACAGCACCCCATGGTACCCCATAACGCAGCAATGGGGCTGGGACAGATGGAAAGAGAGATCTTGGGGTCCTTAAAGGGTGTGGGTGGGGTCTGGGAGTCCTGGCAAGAGGAAGAGGTGGGTCTGGGCTCCTACTGTGGTTTGGGGGTTGCTGTCCACCCCCAAGACACTCATGTGTCCCCTACCCAGAGCAGAGCCCCTCCTGAGTGGGTTTGGGGTCAGTCGGGGGTCTCTCCCATATTCCCCCCAGAGCAGAGCCCCTCCCGGGTGGGTTTGGGGTCAGTCGGGGGTCCCTCCCGAGAGCAGAGCCCCTCCCGGGTGGGTTTGGGGTCAGTGCGGGGGTCTCTCCATTGTCCCCCGTGTCCCCCCCCAGAGCAGAGCCCCTGCTGGGTGCCCCTGTATGGCCGCATGTGCTGCCGCCTGGCGGCCAGGCCGAGCTGCATGGACACCCCCGCGGCGACAGGGACACTGCGGCTGCAGGTGAGGGACCGGGGTGGCACCGGGAACGGGAACGGGATCGGGATCGGGAACGGGATCGGGATCGGGAATGGGATCAGGAACGGGACCGGGAATGGGATTGGGAACGGGATCGGGAATGGGAGAGAGGGGTGGGATAGGGGGGCAGAATAAAGGGGTGGGATGTGTCAACAGCCCCACAGTGACAGGGACACTGCGGCTGCAGGTGAGGGACCGGGGTGGCACCGGGAACGGGAACGGGATCGGGAATGGGATCGGAAAAGGGAATGGGAACGGGAATGGCACCGGGAACGGCACCGGGAAAGGGATCGGGAACGGGATCGGGAATGGGAGAGAGGGGTGGGATAGGGGGGCGGGATAAAGGGGTGGAGTGGGGTAAAGGGATGGGATGTATTAACAGCTCCACAGTGACAGGGACACTGCAGCTGCAGGTGCGGGATTGGGGTGGCACCGGGAATGGGATCGGGAACGGGATTGGGATGTGGGGATGGGATATGGTGGGGGGGTATAGGAACGGGGACCCTGCAG